CTGAAAAAAAAAAATCAGTATATTTTCTTGCTGCAGTTTGTCAAAAACATGGCTGTGTATTCATTTTTTTTCTTCTGTGGTCCCCTAAATGTTATAGTTTAAGGAAGCCACTTAGGGTAGGGGTATTCAACCCCACCTAACCTAAAGACTGCTGATCCTCTGTCAAGTGGTGAAAAGAATTCCTCCTCTCCTTGCATTTTGTGCAAGCCAGAGGTATGAGTGATGCTAGGAAGACACTTCTCAGCAGGTTCCTTTTGCAGGATGAGGAAGGCGAGTGTGGCTGTGAATGTCAATACAAGCATGAGGTGCAAAGCAGTCAGTGCTGTGGTAATGTCAGTTGTGATGATAACTAAGATTCAACACCACAGATAACAGCCAGAAGTGGTACAGCACATCCAGGGAATGCTGGTCTCTCCATGGGTAGGGACATGGTAAGAGAGGATTGTGAAGGAATTAAGAGCTGGACATACATTATTCCCTTACTATGGCCTTTTATTTAGGCCACTGTGAACTTGGAATTCTAATTGCACCTCTACCTTGTTCTTTTCTATTTCTTTTATTCTTTTATTTATCTTTATTCACTATGAGCCCTATAAAATCAAGATATTCACTGCCTAGGATGAATTTTAAATATTCAAATGTATGTTAAAAAATAGAAAATTGTGATGATACATCAAAATCTAGGCAATATCTTTACCTTTTATGCTCACAATTGACAAAGCTATTTACAGCCAATGAGGATTTTTTGCTTTCAGCCAACACAACGCAATTGAATTATTGCAGTTTTTAATGAGTTCTTGCTTGGAAGTATACCTCCTATTTATATCTCAGCGAATAAACAAGGCCCCAGAGCTCTTGGCAAGCTCTGTATTAAAACAAACAAACAAAAGACATAAAATAACATTATTTCATAAGGAGTTACACTGCTTGTGCATATTTGAATTCTGTGAAAGGATGGAGCTAACCACTAGCAGAACCTGGGGTTTGGGAAATCCTTGAGTTGATAAAACCATACAGAATTGCATTATGTTTGGAATAGCTATTATGCCAAATAAAGACATTTTCTGCAGTGTACGGAAATAATTTTTTGCAACTTTTTAAAATAATCTAATTTCATTTACTTCAGCAGTGCAAACAGTTAATGGCATAACGAGTTTCTGGTGTGATTAGTACTTAGAGCAGTTGCATGTCTGTACTGATCATGTAACACAGCTTTTTTTAAAAGTCTGGGAAAAAAATGTAAATGGACTGTTTAAGTCCTTTGAAGTTCTACAAAACACTAGTGTGTTTACTGCATATTAATTTTTAGACCTAGGGGAGAGTTATTAATGCTGGGTAGAGAAGGTAGTTCCTATAGTAAGAAAATTTCACCATTTAAAAATTTCTCAATGAGAGTAACTGGAATCCAGCTCCAAGGTCATCTGTGTGGCTGCCAGACCTTGGTGCAGCTGCAAACCTTGGAAATCTGAGCTTTTGGTTCTCCTGGCATCAGAGCATGCTTAAGGAACTGGCAAGGAATCTGGCAGGTTCCTGCCACTTTTGGGACTTTCTCCTTTTACTCCAATCATCTTTAAATTTTAATTTCTTTTCTGGCTGAAGGGCTTTTAAAGGCTTACTACCCAATGCTAGAAATTGCAAGGAATAGCATTAAAAATTATATTTTTTCAATGCTATCCAAATTTTTCTGCTCCTGCAAATGTCCAAAAAATAACTGTAAAAGTCAGTATGCTAAGCTGCTAATATTTTGTCAGATGTGTAATCCTATTTTGGTAAGTGCAGTTTAACACTTAACTGAATTCCTGTCATTAGTTGAAAAAAATGTATCACCAGAAAAAAAAGACAATGTCCAATATGTTTCCCGTTAAGTTGGCGGCCAGAGCTTTGTTGGCAGCGGTCAAAGGGGCCCAGATCTCCCTACAGGAGCCCCATTACCTTTTTTTATAGCTGCTATGTCCAGAATAAATAATTAGGAAAAGTCTGCTTTTGTACCCAACCAGAATTCATGCATGTTAAGCTGCATCTCTGATATAAAGGGAGTCAAACATATACATGACCATATTCAGTCAATGTCCAGTTTCAGAATTGCCAAATGGGAATTTTAGAGTGGAGTACTTCAGTCTTTGTTCATGGATGTGTGAGTAAACATGAGAATTGAAAAGAAAATGTGTGTCCTGTTGAAGGAAGGAGAAGCTTTTTTCTTAAGGGACATTTGGGATAAAATCAGATAGTTGGTAAAAGGAAACAGTATTCAACTTGAAAACTGGCAAGGAAAGTGGAGTGAGGAATGATTTTTCTTGTCATGCCATAACACAAAATTCTTACATTAATAATCTGTTTTTGGAGAGTCAACACAGCATATAGACAACCATCCTTACGCTAAACAGACACAGAGAAAATTAGTTCTTCTGAGGGGGAGAATAGACATTAGAGATTAAATAGTGTTTTCTGTAGTTTTGATTGCCTGTTTTGTTTCATTTCTAGTTTAAATGAATAGTAGGGGGTCAGTGGCAAAAACCCAGCTAACTAGTTATTACTGGTGGTAGGATGCTTGTGTGTTATGTTCCTCTTTCAGGCCATGGGTGTGTATCTCTATGGTGAATTAATGGTGAATGAAGATGCAAAACAACAAGAACTTGCACGGAAATGCTTTGCTGCAGCACAAGAACATATGGATGCATCCTCAGCCAAAGTGGTGGCAGAGATGTTATTCTGAAAAGGTGATTTTTCATTTTAATCCTAACACCTTGATTTTGCTTCACATAGAAAGAATATGAAGAGTTCAGTGAACATGGTAAACTATGGCATACCATACAACTTGTGGCTGCTTAGGCTGAGAGATAACTCTTGTTATGTATCTTGTTGGCTTGTTTTTTTTCTTTTTCTGAAGCCCAGCTGCAGAAGCAGTGAGTTACATACATGTAGGCATAGCTGGAGAACATGGAGAATGGCTTTGTTGTAATGGACTGTACAAGAGGCAACTGTAAGTCCAAATGGCCAAGGAAGGCCAGGCTCTGCCCTACAGTTGTTTCCCATCCTGTATTCCTAATTCTGCTTACAAAATTTTGTGTGAGTAGCATTTCTGTTTTAATAGAGCTGCATGTTTACTCGACAGGCAGCATAGTCTTTGAAAAGAGCCTGTTCCCACAGTGGAAATATGAAACTGTGGACTTGGAAGCAAATATCATGTGAGAACAAGCTGGTAATTCAAATGTTCTTGTGTTGAGGGAATGGAGGTTTTGAAGACTGATTATGAGGTAAGAAAAGTAGCCTAAACATGAAGAAGCTAACTTGTTTATAAAATTGAAGGAGATGAATTGCCAGAAAAAGCAGAATTGCAAAAATATTTATGGAATGAAGATTTCTGTAGGCTATAAATTTGCAAAGATACGTTCCAGTTCTCTGTCTGAACAGTTGGAGGTAGTCTTACAGTGTCTGCACATGCATGTTTAACATACAACCCGTTAAGATTTGTATGAAAGTTTCTTCAAGTGCAGCATACCTCAGATTTTTGGTTAATCATATAACTCATCCAACAGACTGATTGCCATGGTTGTTCACAAAACTTTACAGCTGATTTGTCGTATCAAAATTCAGGCTACTAATTTAGCAAAAACATTGTCAGTTAATTGATACCAAGCAAAAATCTTAATTTTCTCCTGTTCTAGCAGTATTTGACTGTAAGTTCCACTTGATTTTGTAGCATTTTTTTGCTATGTTTATATGAAATACAGCCAATGACAGATACAATGAAAGCAAGTTTGATTATGAAAAGCCATGTTGTTCTTCTGTATAGACAAGAACTCTACCTGCCAAGAAAACTTTTTGGGAAAGGTGGATCAGACTGTAAAGTGGCAGGAGATCAGTTGTGGAGTAGGAGAGATACCTTTTTAAATAGTTAGGGCTATAGAGACTCTCTTGTATACTCCCAATTATTAAGAACTCAGGAATTTGATTTATGTTCAACAATTCTTAATCTGGTAGGTGTCTTCAAGTGTCTGAAGGTCAGAAATAATAAAATCAAAATTTCTACAAGTTTCTGATGGTAAGTATCTAGCACAGGAAAATTACATGGTATGCAGGTGTTAGCAGTAGTCTAGAATTACTCCTTTGACTTCCCAGACAGAGTGGAAGTGCATGGTGAGCTATAACATAAAATGTAAAGATACTGAGTACAATACTGTGTGTGACTGCACAGGTTTCTTTTAATGTTATGGCTGTTTGGGTTCCTGGCATGATGATTTGTGACTTAAGATTAAAATCACATTGCCAGGGATTACCACGCAGCCATGACCACAGCTGCTAGCATGAAACTCACCATTAACGGTCTGATGGCTGCACAGCGCGGAATCCTCTCCAGCTATCAAACAAACAAACAAAAAACACACACCCACACACACAAAAAAATAAAAACTAGAGAGAGAGAGAGAGAAACAAACCCCCAAACCCACCAAAATCACAGGAAAGCAGCAGAGCATCATGGAAGAACCTCCTCCGAAAACTATCTCTGCTGAGACCGAGATCTCTCTGGCGAGGTGCAGAGCTTAGCTGATTGGTGAACAGTGATTGTTTTCCTCTTTGTTCACAGTGGCTAAGTTCTGCACCTGAAGAGAAGGGAGAGGAGACTCTCTGCAGGGCAGAGGGCGTTTGCTGGCTGAGATCCCTTGCTGCTGAGAGAGCAGATTTGTGATGAATGCATCAAGGTTCAGTGTATGGAGAATAAGTCGCAGAGGCAGCCTGGGAAGCTCCAAAGGCTTTTAGTTTTAGTTGAGAATAAATAGTGCTCCTTAAGTTCTCAGTCTAATTGCAAATGTAGGGTATTGCCTACAGTAAGTTGGTTACCATGCTTTCCTAAAGGTCAGAGGAAATAATGCTTGTGACTTTAACCTGAAATTGTCAATAAAACTTTTGTTTTATAGTCTTCTCTTTAATGGATGCTGTCATGATCCTCTCTGCAGTTTTAGCTTAGCACTCTGTGTTGTTTGCAGGAAATGGTGGCAGCTCCAGTCGGAAACAACTTACAGCTGCTGCTGTTGTTCCAGGCTGTTGATGGACCCGTCCTCCGGTGCCTACTGAGCTGATATCAGTTCTGATTTTACACACTGGCTCAGTTCAGCAGGAACAGGAGTCGAGCCCTAGAGCAAAAAACAAGATGTACCTTTCCTAAGAGCCTTTGAGAAATGTTGCTGTTTTCTCTCAAAAACTGAATCAATACACATTATGATATCCTGATGTTAGACACTAAATGGCCTAAGGGGGAAAAGCTACCTCAGTACGGTTTAAGAGGACTGTTGGCTAAAGATGAGAAGGTATGTGAGTATGTAGTGTCACACAGTATTGCTGTGGTAACTTGCCTCTGACGTTATTTTCAGGGTAACTTCCTAATAACCACGAGAGTTAGTGCTTCCACCATGGATCCCTCCCTATCTTCTCCAGACCTTGTTGTGGTAGCTTGAGGAAGCTAAAGAGATCATTGTTAACTCTGTAGCTACAGTTACAGTCTACTGGTAACCTAAAATACAACTCAGTTTGGAAAGCTGGGGCAATCAAGAATGCACAGATATTCCTTCATTGTGACAGAGTAATAACTTTAAATGCTGTTTCCGTTGCAGGAAAGATCACAGACAACTCTTTTAATAGATCTTCTACTAAACCCCGATGGTACTAGGATTTCATTGATCCAGGACATCAAAGGAAGGATTATGTGACTGCTAAAACAATCAGCTGACAGAAATATTTACCTTTTTGTATTTCTAGAGGTCCACTATAACTGAGAACACATGCACACAAACAAACTACACATACACACAAGTTACTCTGACTCCAGGTAATTCTTTGATACAAGAATTTTGGGATTTATCCTTGTGCTTTGGTAATACAGTCATTCTGATTTGCAGATGCCAAAGATTCTTGATTTGAACAACTTTATTTATTTGGGCATTCTGAAAATGGATGAAACTGTTTTGTGTACTTACAATTTTGTTTGTAACTTCCATGTCATATTTAAAAAACATCTGTGTAAAATCAGCAGGGGCTGCAGTAGGGCTCATAAGATTAGAGAGAAGCAGAAATAAACTGGAAAGTTACCTGACATCATCCTGGTGATGGGTTGGGACTGAAGTAAAAACAAAGATCATCATGCTCTCGTGTCATGTTTAAGTTAAATTTTACTAGAAATGTCAGACCTCCCATTTTCTGGAAGTGTCTTTCATACCCTTGTGATGTTTCTTTTGCAGTGGTATGTCAAATGTATCTCTTCTTCCCTGAGCAGTGAATTTTTACATTATTAGAAGACATCTTAATTGTTCATTTCAGAGAGTTAAGAATTTAAACCACAAAAATCTGTGAATTATTTCCTTTGTACTCTATTGTTTTATATCAAATACTCTTTGATAGTAATAAAATTACCAAAATAAATTATTTTTTCAAGTACATATAGTCTTTCCATTGCACTGTGGTTCAAAATAATTTAAAAACATGGGAAGAAAAATTACTCCATTCCTTCTTTTGCAGCAGAAGAAAAGCACCTGGAACTCATCACTTAAGGGATGATAATGAGAAAAAATAAATGGGGTATTCTTTTTTAAAGTTCTTAGCCTCAGAATACAAAGTATAAGCCTGCCTCAAGAGTGTCTTCAGTACAAAGAGTACAGTTCCTTTTCACGTCACCACATTTTCTGACCTCCCCCTTTGCAGGCATACAGTGTCACAACCTGAATTAAGGGACACTCAGCAAGTTCTTTCAAATGCAGTAAGAGTTAGGAAATTGTCCAAGAAGGCACTAAGGCACCACAGTGACTTCAAATGTAGTGACTCTCACAGACACAGTTATTACAGGATCCCATTCATAACAGAGTTACACTTCATTTCACAGGTTTTTCTGCAAAGGTTACACTTCATTTCAAAGGTTTTTCTGCTTGCTTTTTGCCTTTTTTCATTGTGTAAGGAAAAATATGCAGAGCTGGATAAGACTCTTGCACAAAATATGCAGAAATTAAATACATTCTAGGCCTCTTCGTAGCCAGTACTGTTAAAGCTAAGGGCATGTAAGATACTACACACTTTTTAAAATGGCACCAAATTTTTCTCCTTTCAGAATAATCTACTTGTGATTTTTTTTTTTTTTAAATACTGAGCACAGCAGTAGTTTGTTTTGTTTGCTACAGCTCTTATACTCTGCTTCAGCAGTATTAACTTGACCATTTCCCCTCACTACAACTTCATGACCCATCATGCATGGTAGCAACTGAGAAAAGGAAGAGAAAATAAAATACTAACACCAAAAAACCTAAAAAATGGCAAAGAGGTGGCAGTTCTTGCCCTTCATCAGGGCTTATGGGGCCTTTTGTTGCTAATACAAGCATTATGATATAGAGTGAGGCTCCAGATGAAAAGAAAGCTGAAGGTGGCACTGAACAATTAGTGTCACCATAACTCATCAGAGAGCATAGGAGACTCATGCATGTATTGTTTAGTAGGTCATTAACATGATATAAATATTACCCTTCTGAATCATGTCAAGAGCACTGGAAGTGAACCGTATAACCCTATAATTATTTACAGAATCACAGAGTGAGTTGGAAGGGACCCACAAAAATCATTGAATTCAGCTCCTGGCCCTGCACAGCACCATCCCCAAGAGTCACACCATGTGCTGAGAGCATTGTCCAAATGCCTCTTGAGCTCTCTCAGATTTGGTGCTGTGACCACTTCCCTGGGGAGCCTGTTCCAGTGCCCAGCCACCCTCTGGGGGAGGAAGCTCTTTCTAATACCCAACCTAAATGTCCCCTGGCACATCTTCAGGCCATTCCCTGGGGTTCTGTCACTGGGCACCACAGAGGAGAGATCAGTGCCTGCCCCTCCTCTTCCCCTCGTGAGGAGGTTGCAACTGCAGTGAGCTCTGTCCTCAGTCTCCTCTGAGGTGAACAGACCAAGTGACCTCAGCTGCTCCTCGTACAGCAACACAGCCTCCAGCACTGGAGGTGATGCTGCCCCAGCTCAGAGCAGAGCAGGACAATCCCCTCCCTTGCCTGGCTGGTGATCTGTGCCTGATGTCCCCCAGGACAGGGTTGGCTGTCCTGGCTGCCAGGGCACTGCTGATCCATGTTCAACTTGCCAGGACCCCCAGGTCCCTTTCCATGACCCTGCTTACAGCATCTCATTCCCAGTCTGTCCATACATCCAGGGTTACCCCATCCCAGATGCAGGATCCAGCACTTTCCCCTGTTGAACTCCATGTTGTTGGTGATTGCCCAGACCCCTGATTTGTGGAGGTCTCCCTGCAGGGCCTCTCCCTGCCCTGGAGGGAGGCAACAGCTCCTCCCAGTTTTGTATCATCTGTGAACTTGCTCAGTATCCTTTCCAGTTCTGTGTCCAGGTCATTTATGAAGCTGTTGAAGAGCAGAGGGCCGAGGATGGGCCCTGTGGAGCCCCTCCAGTGACAGGTCCCCAGTCTGATGTCGCCCCATTCACTGTGACCCTTTGTGCCTGACCCATGACCCAGCTGCTCACCCATCCCGTGATGTGTTTATCCAGCTGTGGGCTGCACATTAGGTCCAGAAGGATCCTGCGAGAGACTCTATTAAAAACTTTACTGTCTTCCCTTGGTCAGCTGGGTGGGTTACCTAGTCATGAAAGGAAATCAGGTTAATAAGCTAGACTTCCTTCTCATGAAGACGTGCTAGCTGTGACCAATGACTGTGCTGTCTTTCAGGTGTTTTTCAGCACCCCCAGAATAAACTTCTCCATAACTTTATCAGGCACTGGAGTGAGACTGACAAACCTATAGTTTCCCAAGTCCTCCTTCTCTTCCTGAAAATCGGGACAAATATTTACCAGCTTCCAGTCAGCTGGGACTTCTGGATTCCCAAGACCACTCAAAAGAGACATTTTATGATGACATCAGCCAGTTCTGGAAGGACGCTTGGATGAATCCTATCAGGCCCCATAGGTTTGTAGGGATCCAGCTGGAGCAGTAGGTCCTCCACATGTAAGTTTTCAATAGGCCCTATCAAAAGCCTAACAGAAAACAACAAACCACCAACCTTACAGTTTTCTCTCAGGTAGGTGTTTCTATATTGAGTTCCTGACAGAAGGAAGTTGCAGAATTTAGTTGTAGCAAATAAAAGTAAGCAACAACAAAATCTATTTCCAAACTTCCTACAAATAAATCATTACAGGAAGTTGTATCTTTTCAAACAATACTTCCATGTAGGAGATGGACTCGGGGGACTTTGTGGGCCGCTTCCAATTCAGTGTATTCTATGATTGTATGTGGCTATGACAACACAGGCATCTATATAGGTGTGCCTTTGCCCTTAGGTTTCATTTACTTGTTTCATAGGCAGCCCCCTCTGAATAAAATACGACATTTTGTAGGGGTTTTTTCCCCCCTCCCATCCCTAATTTAGTCCTTTCCAAACACAGTGGTAATGTTTTTCTGAATAGCATTAGAAAGCCCAGTGCTGGACTATCTCCCACTTATTTCATCAGGCCAGCATCTAGTTAGGATCTCGGTGATTCTTTTCTGGATGTACCTTTCAGCTCTGAAAATTAATCTCAGATGAAAAATTAAAACTGTATCTATATAATTGGGCAGGGATTGCCATCATGCTGGTCTACATTTCCAGAGTAAAGGCAGACCATAACAAGGGAGTGGCCCTGCAAATCCCTTAGCCCTTCAGTGGCAATGCCTTCATTCTTTGCCATACACTTTCTGCTGCAAGTACAGAGTAAAACACTCAATTTTGCTGACAGCTGCTTTCTGTCTGCAGCTTTGCTGGGAGGTGATTGCAGCTGCTGCTGTCTCTGTGACTTCTCCTTTAGAAGGGAATTAGCTGTACCCTATTGTCCATGCCTCACACGAAATAGGGAAGGAAAATTGTCTGGAAACAAAGATCTGACTGGAAATGCAGCAAGTGTGCGGCTTGAGGAAACAAGTTGGCATAAGAACCCTAAGGATTTCTGACATATAAAAAGCACTATGAAAAGGGATACTACCAGAACAAATCAAAAAAGTCATATGGAGCATTAAAATGTATAATGCAGAGCACTGTGGCCAGCCAGTTCATCTCCACAGCTGATGAAAGTCTTGAGAACTGGTATTTGTGCTACAGAAAATTTAGGTGTTAGTTTG